GTGTGTACAGTAGAACCTTGTTAGTCTGGACACTTTGGTTCATTTGTACAGTAGAACCTTGTCAGTCTGGACACTTTAGTTTGTGTGTACAGTAGGACCTTGTTATTCTGGACTCTTTGGTTCATGTGTACAGTAGAACCTTGTTTGTCTGGACACTTTGGTTCGTGTGTACAGTAGAACCTTGTTAGTCTGGACACTTTGGTTTGTGTGTACAGTAGAACCTTGTCAGTCTGCACACTTTGGTTTGTCCATGATTATCCCAGTGAGTCATCACTTGCGGGATAAGGACATAGTGTGAATGTGAAATAAACTTGGATGATGTTTTATTTTACCACCAGATAACACTGAAACCATTTTAAATTGAAGAGATGATCGTTACATCACCCAAAGTGGTATACTTTATGATCCCTAAATTATCACTTAGTGTTCATTTTTACAAATTTTTATGTCTGGTATAATATAAAATGATCAGAAACCCTTGACCCTTTATACTCCTGATTAGGAGGATACAGCGAAATCTTGTAGCACTTTTTCACAGACATTATAACTATACTATAAAATCATTGTTGTATTTTTACTGTTGTTGACAGAAACAGTTTGTTGTACTTTAGGTTTTGTATGCTCTTTTCTAGTGGGCCAAAACATGTAAACTGGATTAAATTTGCTGAGACTCCCCATGCAAAACTTACATTCACACAAGTTAATCAAATATGTTCTTGAAATCCATCTGTCTGTTTCCTATATAATATAACCGTAGTAGGTGAGCTATTCAGGCCCTTGGGCCTCTTGTTGAACATTTCCAAATTGTTCCAAAATGAGCCAGTGTATATAAGTATGATGTGGCTGTGATATTGTCACCTGTTAACTGATTGTTTGTTACTTTGTAAGGCTTGGTACTGGCTGGTCCGTCCACACCAATCGACTGGGGATGTTCCACAAGGGAGATAACCTGAGCATTGATGAACAGGAACACATCATGAATGTGATCTGTAAGGCAGACTTCCTGGAGCGCAACGAACAGGAGCGTATTGGGTTTGTACACATTTTCATTTACAAAGAATATGTTTCATACAATTCATAACAGTTAAGACTTTTAGACTTTTTTATCGATCTTCTAAAAACTCAAACAAAAGTTGTTGATTGATATTTTGCTGTAAAAGTAAGATATATTGGTGCTTCAGAAAATTTCATTTATTTCAAGTTTTCTAATCAGTGGTAAGATACGCACATCAGAGTTTTACGAATATTTCCTTTTTTTCCCCTTCAAAATGACATACATAATTGACATTAAATTTCCCAAACAAGCAAGCTGATTTCAATCTCTTGCTCATATATTCACATAATATACTTTACATCAACACTGATAACATGAACATTTCCTCACAATGAAGAACAAGAACACCAACGTTTCAGCTTTTACATTTTATCAAAACAAAAAAACTATCATTGTTCCATGTATAAAGAACACCATTTTGAATACCAGGAGAAAACCATTTACAAACATAACAAATTCTGTCAAAAGTAAATATGCCAGAGAGGTGTTTAACCCTGTATTACTTGTAAGAGAGGACCCTCAGGAAGTCCAGAGAGGTGTTTAACCCTGTATTACTGGTAAGAGAGGACCCTCAGGAAGTCCAGAGAGGTGTTTAACCCTGTATTACTGGTAAGAGACGACCCTAAGGAAGTCCAGAGAGGTGTTTAACCCTGTATTACTGGTAAGAGATGACCCTCAGGAAGTCCAGAGAGGTGTTTAACCCTGTATTACTGGTAAGAGACGACCCTCAGGAAGTCCAGAGAGGTGTTTAACCCTGTATTACTGGTAAGAGACGACCCTCAGGAAGTCCAGAGAGGTGTTTAACCCTGTATTACTGGTAAGAGACGACCCTCAGGAAGTCCAGAGAGGTGTTTAACCCTGTATTACTGGTAAGAGACGACCCTCAGGAAGTCCAGAGAGGTGTTTAACCCTGTATTACTGGTAAGAGACGACCCTCAGGAAGTCCAGAGAGGTGTTTAACCCTGTATTACTGGTAAGAGACGACCCTCAGGAAGTCCAGAGAGGTGTTTAACCCTGTATTACTGGTAAGAGACGACCCTCAGGAAGTCCAGAGAGGTGTTTAACCCTGTATTACTGGTAAGATAGGACCCTCAGGAAGTCCAGAGAGGTGTTTAACCCAGTATTACTGGTAAGAGACGACCCTCAGGTAGTCCAGAGAGGTGTTTCTTCATTATAGTGGTCTCTTAATACCGTATAACTTGTCTCGAAAATACTGGTTCAATTCACAATTGTATCAATACAACGGAAAACACTTTTAGTCAATAAGGCTGTATTGTGATGAAGCATAAAGATGTATGATGTATGATTGTCCTATATCAGGTGAGTGATACAGGCCCTATATCAGGTGAGTGATACAGGCCCTATATCGACATTATGTTGGAGTAACTGAGTCCAATAAAAAGGATGTTTAATGTATGTTTGAAGCTTCAGATTGTCGATTTGTAATGAAGATTTAAAGTTATTGATATGTATTGATGCTTAGAGCTTCAAGTTAACTGAATGAAAATGGCTAAACACTTATGAAAGCAGTTTTGAAAAGCAGGAAGCATTTGTAATATGCATAATGTGCAATCCAATTATTGGTTGGTTTGATTTGTGAGATCAGGCTGGAACACCATGTCAATAGTCGTCCCAGCAGGACAAAAAGAATTCGGTATCACTTACACCCAGCAACTCCAGCGAGAGCCTCACACTCTAGCTCAAGATCAATAATATTTAATATTCCTTTCAAATGGGAATTGAAGAGGAAGCTTTTTTTTCCCTTACCAATAATTAGTTTTCTGTGATTTTGTCATGGAGAGATAATGGGTTGCTGTATTGCCAACTAGAGACTGTTTCTGTGCTGTATGTGGTAGGGAAGCATTGATTGATGTACTACCATGGAATCAAGGTGTGCTAGACTGGCTGTACTGCAGAGTGTGGAGTGTATTAGTCTGGCTGTACTGCTGAGTGTGGAATGTATTAGTCTGGCTGTACTGCTGAGTGTGGAGTGTACTGGTCTGGCTGTACTGCTGAGTGTGGAGTGTACTAGTCTGGCTGTACTGCTGAGTGTGGAGTGTACTAGTCTGGCTGTACTGCTGAGTGTGGAGTGTATTAGTCTGGCTGTACTGCTGAGTGTGGAGTGTATTAGTCTGGCTGTACTGCTGAGTGTGGAGTGTA